TCGTCAGTCGATATCAAAAGCTTGAAGCACCCCAATACGCATGACACAATATCGCATGTTACGTCCACCCCAATGGTTGTTACGATAGTAATAATAGAGTGAGGGTTTTATTTAAAAAAATCGAGTCATTAACCTTATGGTTCGTCATTATATATATAGAACACTACATGTTTTCAACTTGAATTTTTTTCAAATAAGGTCTTAACAAGTGCATAGAAATGAAACCCTACTAAGAAAATTTGTCGGCTATAATTAAATTTACAGAAATACTGGAAAATACACTGCTGATATCGTTACTGTATTGGTCTAAAATACAAAGTTGCAGATTATGTATGCTCAACAAAATCAAGTGTGTTTACATGTTGACGATTAGAACAATAATTAAAATAATGTATATTTTAATAATAGCAACAATAATACTCCAAATTTTTTTAACACCCATATATATACATAGAGAAAGAGAGACAATTTAAAAATAAGCATGTGTTATTGTAAAGGTATTTGACTGAGTTATCTTCATAAAAATGTCTACTGATGTAATACGTTCAACACAACAATTTGTTCTCATATCTGCAATTTTTTTAAATTTCAGGATACTTGTCACCACATTTCAAAACAGATAGCGCTTTAAAACAAACAGCCAGTTTTGTCATTCTATTTTTCTGTTGAAGTTATTTGAAAAATAGTATAATCTTTTAATGTTATAAACATCTGCTCGAAAACAGGTGGTTGTAAACATTTTTTTACTTTATCTCAATTTCGCTACTTGTGCTTACATATTTTGAATATTTAAAATAACGTGGTTATTTCTTATTGTTTCTACTTTATTGATCTGTGGTGTCAGTATTTCTTGGAAAATCAGCATAATGTATCAATTATGCAAATATAGATTAGATTCACAACCTGGTGAGAGCTGCTGATGACTTATTAAAAATCTCGATCTAGTAATCAAGGATGACCCCGTCTAAGACGAGTGAGATAAAGGCTGATTCTCACTTGATGTAGACTAAAAAAATATTCAACAACTCTGCGAAAACAAAGAAAATTTTATTCTTATCTATAAACAAGTAGTGTCGCTTCTATAAGTACAAATTATATCGCAAGTTTTTCAACTTTAACCTGCACTTGATGTTGAAATTTAGGAGTGTAGGTGTAGATACTCTTTGCTTCTTTCAAATTATATACGTAATAAAGTATTAAAATAATTTAGCTTGAAAAATCGGAATCCTGTATTGTTTTATTCGAATGTTGTTAATACTGATGGTAGCATTTTGAACTTAAAACATTCGATAACATTGAAACAAATATATTTTTTAATTGCATATCTTACGACAAAAAGTGAAAATCATAATTCATAATTATCTCTGAAGTCTCATTTTAGTACTTTTCCGATTTTATAAATCTTAGATATGGATATAATAGAAAATATAAATTGTTATCGTGAAATTTTAGATAAGATGAATTCCACTTAAATTTATCTTGCGAAAATAGTACTAGAATTATATGCCACGGTTCTATTTTAAGAACCATCAATTAAAGAAATAAGAATCCAAGTCAAGGGTACTTTACATAATTTTAAGTTTGATATTAAAACAATAGCGTACTTTGTACTTAATGGCACGAGATAAATGACATACAGGTGTTTCCTTAGAAAAACAATAATTTCATTAACACTAAGACAGTTAAGAAGAACGATTGTAAAAAAGAAATTCAAAAATTGAAGTTTTCCCCAATGTTTTAGTTTGATCATTTCCGACGTTATTAAACTTAATTATACACTATAATTTTCTAGCTGGGCTGGATAACAAATATGAAATAAACAGAAAGTAAAATTTTCGTCAGTCGCAAAAATCAGTACCAAAAATCTGTATTACATTGAATATGTGAAGAAAAAAACAGTACTTACGGAAAAGTTAATTATATTTGAAGATCACACTTAAAATGATCGAACAATAAACTTCAACTTTTAGTAACGTTCTGATAAAAGATATCCTTAATTTAAAGAGTTTTGCATCTACATTTTTCAGAAAAATTACATATTTTTTAAATAGAATATTAGTTTAATAATTTTTGGTAAATTCTTAAAAGTTACCAAAAGCAGCTTTTGTTTCTTTTAATTGTCAAGTATTATTCTAAAGTGTAGATTTAATAAACTAAAAATGAAAAAGAAATCTTCCAGGTCGTTTACCTATTACTTATACAATATATTACTTATTGTATAATATATATTTTCTTGCAAACAATAGATCCGGGAATAGTATTTTCATATCAGTATAATATGAATTACGTCAGTTGTGATTCGAAAGCAAATACACTTTTGCGGAAGAAAATACGTTAGCACGTTTAAATCTAGAACAGTGTACTCTTATCACAAAGTTGAAGCTCGAAGAACGTATTCAAGATTATTTTCTTTAATAACATAAGTAAAATTGAACTTGAACTCTAGTCTGTTTCCATGCCTGACATTGTTGATTAAAAGACAATAAAGAAATTTTATAGCGATAGTTACCTTGTAGATAATAATTTAACATAATATAATTTATTCAAATCAGTGTTAATTTCAATACGAATTACAAATCATCTAAATCACACATTAAATAAAGTTGAACCAAGAGTCTCTGTGCATCCACCTTGTTGATAAAATTATGTTTTCAATGTTGAAACTGTTAGTTGTCTTGTAACTTTCTTGAAATTGTTCTGGTTAGATAATGACTACTGTCAATTTCGTATTCATTTATTTACAACTATAATATACACTGTAGAAAGTACTAATGGCATAAATTTAATAACTGAAATTCTGATAACTAAATTTTCCAACACTATTCAAACAAGTACATAAATAGCACTTTTCCTTGGGTTTTTCTGATGTGGTTCGTTTCTTACGTAATTCAATATATCTAATTTAGAATGAAATGAGAAACAGCAAGAAAATTTAGTGAGTATGAACATTTTCGAAGGGCTAAATGAATATAAAGTATCTTGAATTGAGAGAAAATTTATACGTTGTTTAAAAATTTAAAAAACATTTAAGCACTATCTGTTAATTCGTTTTAAAATCATATCAGCTTTAGTGGTCAAAGTTACTCCAATTATCACCAAAGTGTGAAAAAAAACTGTATAAAGATTTACATAAAAAAAACAGTAAACATAAGACATTGAAAAAGCTTACCTAATGCGAAATTATGTACTTATTGTTACATAAAAAAATATCACAAAGTTACAAGATGTCAGTGTATAAAATAAAATAAAATGCGTTGAGATACTAAACAACGAAAGGTCTTTGATATCTGACTATATTTAAACATGGCTCCAATTTGAATCCACACATGCAGTCATCAATATTAAGATAATAATTAGCTGATAAATCTAATCAATTCTGCTTTGAGTAAAATGATTTACAAAAAAAAATTGGTCAAGGTTAGTTCACTTAATAGTGTGACATCAATGATATCTAAAACGATGCAAAAACAAAAATCAGTAGTTTACCAAACGCACTGATATTTTGACTACGAAAAAAGTCATGTAACTTTTGTGAAAGTCTATTCATAGTAAAACGAAGATATTTGCTGCTAACTTTTTGTGTTGTTGCATATTAAGGTAAGTAGAATTTGACCACCGACATATTTTTTAATTAACAGAACAGAATACGTTTCCGTACGTTTCAAACACAATATTATTAAATTTCTTTTATAATTTCATTATTAAGTATAAAACTTAGTAACAAGTAACTTTTACTAAATTTTGCAGTCATTTAACACTGAACACGTCCATCGTCAACAACGTAAAAAGCAACAGGAAGAGACATTTCGTGTCAACAAAGAATGAAAGACCTTAACATTCGTTTGTTTTGACTGAAATTAACTCTAGTTTTTCGATTTATAATGTAACAAGAGAACACGTTTTTTCATCCATCTCGGTAATTCCAGCAGGTGTTTTGTTAATGTGCCAGCTGTAATGAATATATTAAAAGGAAGTTGGGAAATTACATTGTTGAATCGTTAAAAAAAAAAGATATTAGAAGGTGAAAGCAAGGACCATCGCAATAGTTATACATCATCTGTAGACGTCCATAAGAAACTTGCGCATTCGTCATTCACAAAACATTTATTTTTATATTTATGAACGATTGCAGATATCTTTTGAAACAAAGTTCATTTGAGTATTTTTAAATTAATGCACGTATATCATAACGAAAATCACGCAAATAATAAAATCATGCTTAGAATGTCACTGCTTAGGTACTCCTTGCTTAGGTATACCTACAATTATTATTATTGATAGATGTATTAAATACAATATTCTGTTTATACAATTAACGTGAAATTAAAATCATGAACAAATTATGATTAATGTATGAAGTATATTACGTTGCATATTTTATATGTTACGATATAGCTGATACATAAAACGGATAAATTTCTATACGTCTTCCTTCGTAAAATCCCATTTTGGAATTTACAACAATTCGAAGGTAGATAGATAGATTTATGCGATGGTTTGCCCCCAGTTGCAGAGAATTGTTGCCTGAAACGAATATTATTGTTTCAAACTTGAAAATTCCTTGAGTATTCTACACGGATTTTAAATTATTTTAATTTTTGGTTTTTATACCCATTATATAATAAAAACTGGTTTCTGAAATTTCATCGTTAAAAGTTCATATTAATGTTTCAAAACCAGTAACGACAACGCACTTTTTACCTCTATAAGTCAAGGTGCCTGTTTACCTCTTGTTATTTTATTTTCAAATAGACTTTTTTTTTATTCATAGAAAATAGTTTATTTCAACCATTTTTCAACAGTAAGGTATAAAATTTGCTACATCTCCACAAAAATATTGAAACATCTGCAGCTATATTTTATTTATAAATTTAAAAAAAACGCACATACAGCAGTAGGAGCTTTATGGATGGCATCTTTCGCTAATAGTATATACATCATTATATAAAAATCAATCAAAGAATTTATATTTACATGTAGTGTTACAATTAACGTCTTACCTTAACTGGATCTGCAAAGAACTTCCGATCTGACTAACCGTTCTCACTGTACTGTTGGTTTAATGATGATTTTGCTTAACCTCTTTTATTAAAGTCTACAAATCCACAGTACTTAGTTTACTCACACTTTATTTGCTCTTAAATTACAAAATCCAAATTATTTGTTGAAAGATTACCAATCTTCAAAATACACTCTTTGTTTAACGCTAATTTTCAATCATAAGCTGCTTAAATACGTCGTCGCGTTAAAATACTACAGGAAGAAAGCAATACCGACAATGTTAAAAATAGCTATCTTAACTCGAAACATTTCACAATAGTGCACATCGGAAAATTTTGCCGTTGTTTAAATAGTCTCAATTCAGTCGTAAACTTTCTTGGTGCAATAATACTAATTTGATATTCTATGGTATATTTTTATTTTAAATTTTGCCATAACAATGTAATAAGCAAGAATTTTCATAAAAATGTCCTTGTTATTTTCAATAATAATAATTCGTGATATTTTTGTTCATTTTTGTGTAGGCAGTTTGAATTTAGGCAGTGTGTGGTACCTATCTACTAACTGGAAACAACCGTCTTGTTCTTCCCACAACAATACAACAATAATTGTTTTTTTTTTTTAATTATGACAGGATTACAGTCGTTTCTCAATTTTTTTTTATTCCGTTTGTGGTGACCGAATTTAAATCAAAGTTTTCGCGCTGAAATTAATTAACAACGGCGCGAAATCACATTTGAATAATTTGAATTTGAAAAAAAAAAAAGTTTAATCACGAAAAGGAGATCCTTAAACATAGGCAACCAAATATGCATGCCTGGTCTAATGCACGTAGCGCTTAGGGGTTAGTTTGCATGATCATTGGGTTAGATGGCAGCACGTAGCGCTAGGGTGATTTCAGTTAGAGGGTTGGTAGAGGGAAGCTGCATGGGGTAGAATGTGTCATTATGAATGTGGCTGTGTGTGTGTAACCACGTGTTGTCCCCAACCCGCGCGGTTAATTCTTGCGGCCTTTTAATCGGAGAAATGCGAACTTCCGGTCCACCGAAACACGTGCTGTAAATTTGTTTCATTGTTTGTAAATTCATCAATCAAGCTAGTTTTTCTTAATACTCAGCTAGAGCAAACACAATTTAACAATCAGGATTATTTAAATAAACCATTTGCTACAAAATTTCACGAAATTCACTTAGTCAGGAAAAACACCTTATGTTTAATTACGAATAGGTCTCTGGATGCATATACGTAAGTGTTACATTATAACACTTCTAAATTCTTCACACAAGATTGCTAATAGTTCATTTACGGCAGTTAAACAAGTTCATTATACTGCGGACTGGCGGGGGGGTTACGATATTTTCTCCCCTTAGGTGGTTATCATCGTTATCACGATTAATTCATCGGGGCATGCTTCACAACGCCAGATTGATTAATTAATCAAGGCATGCCCCAACGCTACAGAAAATTTACATCACCGAGACGCTTTTTCCTCGTAACGATTTTGGAATTTACATCACCGAGACGCTTTTTCCTCGCAACGATTTTGGAATTTACATCCCCGAGACGCTTTTTCCTCGGAGCGATGATTGGATATTTTTGTGTTTGTTTATTATGTATTTTGTTGGGGTAACCAGTTCGTAGTATTTTGAACTCTCAAAGTAAATTATTTTTGAAGTAACCAATCATTTAGATATGATATAATTTGGCATAATGTAAACTCTTTGTTTGAACCGCTGATAAACTGTGGCAATTATTAATACCATGTAAATTTTGTTAACTCTGCAAACTTTCACCTCATACTATATTTCTGAATCTCACAATCTTAACCTCAGTAATTTTATTTGTTGTATAATTTTGATTGAACGTAAATTTCATGTTCTACAGTTTTAACCTCACATAATATGTCTATTTGTACAGTTTATTTCACACCAGATCTTCTGTTTCATCAATCCTTACTAAATTCTGTTTTGTAAATACTTTGTTGATGAATGTTTCTATCATATAAATTATTTGATGTCCAACTTTAATCTCACATAAGAATCATTTGTTGTTTGAAATTTCACAAGGTTGTATGGCGAATCTAAATGTTGTTTATTGCTCTTTGAAACTTTAACACTTGTTCAGTTGTTGTTAATATCAGAGTTATAAGAGATTGAATATTTTAAAATGGAATTGAGGTTAAATGACACAGAAAACGTGGCAGAAGCGAGGTTCGGTTCCTAGTCGAGCTGGCGAGATTTATCGTGCCACCTGTACAAGTCCACAGGTTTGGATAGATTCAGGGGCGGCCGCCGACTTTGTGAATTTCTCGATTTGGCCCAATAGTCGAGATCTCTTGCGGGTTGGCCGACCGTAATGGCCTAGTTCCGCAGGGCACGTTCGTAATGGAGATATGCGTGTGGGGTAGGCTTTGCGATAGATAGAATCACCGTCGTGGGGGGAGAACAGTTCCAGACCGGTAGCCCAGACTCCGCTTATGCTACAACGCTCCAGGGGTATTTTTGTTGTGCTCCTGTTAACTGCCGTAACTTAAAAAAGGAAAAGAAATCGGCCGCCACACGCCTGTAATAACTTGTGTATTGGCATCCAGTTACTTGATTCAGCTTTTGCTTTGTTTTATTAAATTTGTGATATTCAAATATTTGCATTGATTCCAAACAGATGTATAGATTTTCCGTTTGTTCGTTTTTCATATGTGTATGTCTGTCAATTCGCGAGTGTTTTTCTTTCATATATCTTAAGGTGTTTGAAATGTAATATGTCCGGGAATAAAACAAAAAGGGGGTTTTTGCGCTGAGGGGTAAATCTTTGGAGCGTCTTTCCTCCTGTGAGGGGTGCCGTACCCCCCCTCCAAAACAATTTTGTCTATTATTTCTTGCGCTCTCAACTCACATGCAGTATATGCTCACTTGTATGAAAGAACGTCTTCCCGCCATTTTTCAAAAAAAAAAAAAAAAACACAACGTAGGTTCTCATTTGTTAGACGATCACAGCCAAGGCCAAACTTTGAATTTTTGAATTTTTCGCGGGCCTTTCAAACTTTTTCAAGGTCAATTTTTAAGGCGGGAAGTTTGGGTTATCACACGTTTTACAAAAATTTGTAACTACATAAAAACGATGGACGGAAATCTTGTAAAGTATATTTCATTTGATATACCTAACTAAATATCAAATTTTCTCACTATCATAGTCAATTATTATTTGCAACTTTCGTTGCCTATTTTTTATAAAATTGTGATGTTTACCATTAGTGACATTCATCTCCTTTCGTTTAAGAATTTACTCCTAATGTGTAGGTGCTTTGGTCTTTGTTGAGTTCGAGCAAAATAATCTTAAATACTGGTTAGACATTAGATGAAATTTAAATGTGCCCACAACATCTCCTATAAATTAGCGAATTTGAATATTCTGTGCTTTGTAAACAAATCTAGTATACATATTTGATTAACATATAAATTAGTTAACAATTATAATCATTTATCTTACAACTTATTATTTGCATGTAAATAAAAACAACCAATACATGTAGATATGCAACCAGTAATATACTTGTGCCAAGTTAAGCGACTTTGATAATTGTGATGCCAACCGTTATGATCCAACCATAACCATTATAGTATATTTCAGAATTCAGTTCTCCTAAGCCATAAACCGGGGTGATTATAAACTAAAAATAATTATCTTCTTTTGTTAAAGAAGCTGTTCCCTTCTTTTCCCAGGTAAGCGCTGAATCTAAGGGTATCCTAGTCTTTTAGTATAGAGCAAATAAGTTGAAACAAGAAAACCTTAGTCCATTTTTAGCATGGTTGTTGATATAGCGATTCACTCAGTGGTTAGAGCAAGAGCAGTGACGTTAAAATGTTGAAGCCCTGCGTTTACATGTATGTACAAGGGAGACTCAAATAGCAATTTTTTTAAAGGTAACCTATGACTTTATTAATAACAATTAATAAAACAAAACGAATTGTTTGCTCCATCGTGGCAGTGACTTTTGAGAATTACTATCTCTCAGCCTGCCGACGGTTGAGAAACCCTCGAATCTGTCAATATTTGAAACGGTTTACGGCTTAGGCGAACGGAGTTCTGAAATACACTATACCAACAATACCAATATATTGTTTTTATCGCTAAAGATTAGACAAACTCAATGAAAATCTGTAGTTTGCAGTTGATACCTCCTTGGGTCCCATCAGTACAGCATATTTCAATAGTTGACTATTGACTGAAAGTATTTAATTTTGCATGCTTAAGCAAGCTGACCGATATTCATGAGATATAGATGTCGATAATTTTCATTTTGTCGCAAATATCTTAATATCTTGACCAACCAGCTGGACGCTGAATTACACCTGCCGCAACTGGCGTCACTGGTTCTTACTTTTCTCATTTGGTAGTGGTAATATATTTTAAATGATTTTTGATATTTCCATATATTAAAAAAAATCTATAAATGGTGTAACAAGTCAACGCGTTTACAGACTGTCCGAAGAGGCGCGAATACCCTAAAGGGTATATTATTGAAGGATGTCGTTAAGGTGGAACGCTAGACCACAGACAAGTTTGAATTCGGCGCCATTTGTGGCCCTAAATGCAACCAGCTGTGATAACCCAAACATCCCGTCTTAAATTGACATATGAAAAAAAAAATCGAAAGCCCGTGAAAAATTAAAAAATTCAAAAATTTGGCATTGGCTGTAATCGTTTAACAAAATGGAACCCGACATTGTATTTGTTTTTTTTTTATGACGGAATGCGTTCAGATGCAAGTGGTGGATCCCAAGATTGGAAAAGTACCGCTAAATAAAACACAGAATATACACAAAACGAGACAAAATCATTTATTCCTCCACCGACAAACAAAAAGAAAAAAAAACTGCGAGTAAACAATGAAACGCACCGGCAACGAATTATCGGTACAGTGTAAAACGGGCTTGGGAAGAACCCTCCCTCAAATTTGTCGACCAATAATCAGTTGACACGCGCTGATTACGCGTCTTCATTACTGACTCTTTCACTTGAATATACTATAAGGGAAAAAAATTAATTCCCCCGTACCTCAGTTCACGATGTTGTGAATTTTACCGCACTTTCCATGGTCTTTTCCATGAGTGGGACAACGTTAGGTTCATTTAACTGCCGTAAATGAACTATTAGCAATCTTGTGTGAGGAGTTAAGAAGTGTTATAATGTAGCACTTAAGTATATGCATCCAGAA